GCAAGTTCAAAACAATAAAGATTAGACATCACATTGCTGTTCTTTTGTACTAGTTTGCATCTTAACAATATATGTTTGAAGGAATTGAAAAAAATAATAAATGAGAGATTTTACCCAGACTCACAATTATTTGTTTATCCCTAAAAACTTTTTATTTCTAACACTAAATTTTTTTGCAATCAGTAGTAATATTTCTGAATTTTACAGGGCATCAAGAGAAAGGCATACGGTAGATACTGAAGGTGAAAAGCCGAAACTGACCTGAAATAATGTTAGTCGATGCCACTGATAATCATTCACTTCGATGTCATTTAATCGCATCGTAATGACTGGTCGTTCTGATGATAACTCATTTGTCTCTTCACCCAACCTGTAATTACGTGCTTTCCTACGTGAAAATTAAAACTTTGAGCAAACTATTATTTATTTGTCTTTGGTTAAACTTTTTCAAAAATTTTTTGCGTTATTAGTAACAAAAAGAGCCCTCAATTTATCAATTTGATTTTTAATTATGTAATTGATTTATGGTTTGCTGCAATAATTTTTTGATCTCCTGACAGGATCCTTAATTTATGAACTTCGCAAGTGACTTCTGATTTTACGAATAGTTTTCTGATTTTTACGTCTATTTCTCGCCTTGTTGAGATTAATTAGATTTCTACTAGAAGTGAAACATTTGCCAAAGGTCAAAATGGTCAAAACTTTGCAAGTAAATTGCCACTAAGCTGTATATTTCTTGTAGCAAAAATAACTGAAAAACAATCCACCTCCTTTAGTAAAATTTTAACAATAAATTTTATAAATTTTAAAAATTGCGAAAATAAAATTCAGTCATTTTTACCACGTCAATTCACACGCTAATAGAATCTTACGTGAGTAACTGAACACGTTCATAGATTTAAATTTCTTGTGAACTTTACATACAATTATTACTTATCATAGAGTATTGTTGTCTAAGATGAAAAGTGATAAATATTTAAAATTTGAGAAACTATCACTGACTATTACTAAAATAAATGCAATATTAGTAATAATCATTCGAAGTAT